TATATTATAGGAAGCAATATAAGCTTCTTCCATGCAAAATCCCTTCATGCTAGATGTGCGCACGCGTAGGAATAGGTGTTTTCTTAAATCCGCGAAGGTCTTTGAAGCTCCCGGAGTTTTTCTCGAAATTACATTACGCTGATATTGTACTGGGAAAATGTTGTTGATCTCCGCTCCGGCATCGTAGCATCGTAGCGTGATACGTAATACGTATCGTAGCGTGATACGTAATACGTAGGTGATTGCAGCAAGGAGTAGAGATGATCAATCGTAGCAGATTGTAGCATCGTAGAATTGTAGAGTTGTTAGCAGCGTAGAGTTATATAATGGTAGCAGATTATAGCAAAGAGTAAAGATGATGTAGTCGCAGAATATGCTCTTGAAAACTGACTTTATTAGTAAACACAATACAAATATATATACACTACGGCGACCTAGGCACCCAAGCCTAGGCCCCGTGTCTCGCGGCTCGTCTTCGTCTATCTCCACTACATTGTCTCACGTCTCTTCCTCTGAGTAATAACTTTTTATGATATTTCGTCCGTGCCTATTTATACGTTTCCGAAAACTGCCCGGCGACATTTGAATTCGACCGGTTTTTCGTCATTATCGGTCGGACCTTGGCTCGTAGGTGTGGCGCGTCGCGTCACCCATCCCCGGCGCAAGGTGTGACGTGCCAAGCGTCGCATCCTGTCGCCACCGTTTGCTGAATACAATAATTTCCTTGACTCCTCTTGAAAAGTTCGTGTCTTTATGAAAACGTATTTCCAATTAAAAACTATATCTCATAACTATGTTCCAAAAATACCGCTACCTAAATATAATACCTAACAGCAAGGAACAGTTATACAAACAAACGTCAGCTCCACTGCACTCATATGCTGATATGATGTGCTGAACATGCGTATACCGTGCTCGAGCAGAGGGAGATATTGCTGCAGCTGTCTAGTGAAAATGACGTCTCATTTTCGTATCACAGGAGGGGGTCGACAGTCTGCAACGGTAAAGGGCCGGACACACCAGGCGATGCCATCGCCCGACGCCATCGGCCGATGGCATCGGGCAATGCCATCGCCCGATGGCATCGCGCAGTCGTGGACACACCAGGCGATTTCATGGTTTCATACGTTAATTATCTGTTAATCAAAAGAAAACAAACAAACAAACGACGAAACATAAAATACAGATATCACCGGCTAAGCTATATCGTAAACACAGATCCATAGCCAATTGTTTGTTTATTAAAAATTTGAATTCGTGGTTTCGCTATGTTGTGGTATCGACCAAATGGTATCGGCTAGCAGCCGTGACTCAAAAATGACGCGACGCGTGACGAAATCGGACGTACCTATTCCTGGGCGGAGCTGTTTTAGCTCGTTCGTCACCTTTAATTAAATATCTTCATTACGCACTATGGTGAGTTTGTACCGTAGTATGTCTCTGTTGGCAGGAACGCTAATTTCAGATTACCCTATTGTCCACGTTCGAGATCATACTTTAGAAGCGGCTAGGCGTCTCGCCTTTCTCATCGCATAGGCTTACTATATCATACTCTCATCTCTCCTTTCGACGCTTTGAGTCACCGTCACGCCGTACAATGAAATTCGAATACCACGCTAGCTATAACTACGAAAAATTCGCGCTGCTCGGCAATGCTCGAGCTATTTTACTGTTAAATGAATTATTTCCGTCTCTTGGTTATGTATACAGTGATTAGGATGTAGCTTACCCTAGGTATCGTCGCCGTGTTAGTCTTCCGCTTCTTCTGCTCCTCGACCTTGCTTTGTGCGGGCTCTGGAGGCTGTCGAGCTTGGAGGACATGACAACATGGCTGCCGTTTGGCGTTTGGCGTTTGGCAGCGTAACGCGTTACACACTCTCTCTCTCTTTTTTTTCTCTCTCTCTCTCTCTCTTTCTCTCATACCCGCTCTCTCTCTCTCTCTCTCTCTCTCTCTCTCTCTCTCTTACCTCTCTTTCGCTCCATCTCTTGTCTTCTCTCACCGTCTCTCTGCACATATGGCCCCTGCACATCCCGTGCCGCAGCGCCGCGCTATACCATCAATTCATCCACCCAATTACGCTTCTGTGTCATACAAATGTATACGTTCTAAATTACGTCTCCTCCCTGCCACCGCCCAGGCACACGACTCGTTATTTACCGAGAAGGCGTCTGGATTGACGAGCCCCGCGTCTATCGCTGTAATCTAATAAATATAGGAACAGTAGACGTGACGGCAGTCTCATTGTTCATCTCGGCTCGTTTAAACCCACCGTGTTGCCATGTTAATACCTATAGCGGGCCTGCAGGCGCGTCTGCTGATAACGTCGATATAGCAATAATTACCCTATCTACACGGCGGCGCTCCCCACACCCTAACGATGCGTCGGCGCTATCCCACAGGTCCTAGCGACGGGCAGCAGCGCACGCGTCGCGAATGTGCGAGCGCCTTGTTAGAGGGCGCGCGCGTCGCATCGCGGGGCTGAGCGGAGCAGCAGGCGCGGCAGACGCGCAGTGATCACATTGACTCCGTACACGCGCGCGCTGACGGTGCGAAGCTGTGACGCCCATAGCCTCTACCGACGCTCGTTATATTCTCCTATACCGCGCGCAGTTTGCCGTGCTTGGCCGCATTCGCTATATAGTCAAACACACCACGGACACTCTCGCTTTACGGATGCGTCGAGCACAATAGCAGCCTCTTGTGTGACGGTTAATGCCACTTTATAGACTATCAAGTAACATTCCTTGATTCGGCGCTGGTTGGTGGGCGACAGACGGTACGCAGGGGTCGAGTCTTCATACGCGCGGGAGCCAGGGCAGTAGCAGCAGCAGCAGCAGCAGCGGGAACGGCGGCAACGGCAGCAGCAGCAGCAGCAGCGGGAGCGGCATCCTGTCTACTACGACCGCGCACAAACACGGAGGAACTTCTTGAATAGCTCTAGATCTACTTCGGTAAGTAAACCATCCCCGCATGCACGTAAAATAAACCACGTGTGCTACACGTGTAGTATAGCGTGTTTAGCAGTGCCGTTGCTGTCCAGTCATAGCATCGTCAGAACTCTGTATAAGATACACGTACATGTCATGTAGTACTCTCTCTCATCTTCCATCTATCTATCTATCTATCTATCTATCTATCTATCTATCTATCTATCTATCTATCTATCTATCTATCTATCTATCTATCTATCTATCTATCTATCTATCTATCTATCTATCTATCTATCTATCTATCTATCTATCTATTTATCTATCTAACTATTTATCTATCTATCTATCTATCTATCCATCTATCTGTCTGTCTGTCTGTCCATCTATCTATACACGCACACACACACGCACGCACGCACGCACGCACGCGCGCGCACACACACACACATACGCACCTGCACTCTCCGGTGTTATCGTAATCGGCAGCCATGAGCACTTCGCTTTCTGTGAACGCATTGAACATCGTATATTTCCCGGTCAGAACCAACTCAAGCGCCTTCGTTGCGTTATATGTTCTCGCCTCTTCGTCAGCCTCTACTTTCTTCCATAGCTTGTTATACGTTGATCCAGGTGGGCTGCTCTTTAGGTGCGAATGTAACATCGGTTTTTATATTTCTCATGAAACTACATCTATACGCGATTCACTGTGTGATCTATAACTGTATGTAAAATACGTCTTTTCAATATCTGGAGATGTCTCACAAATATTACTGCTAAGGTTTAAAAACTGCATGCGGCGCCCCCTTCGTACAACGCAGGATACAAAAGAGGTATGGAAATGTATGGTTTCAGGTATGGTGAATTGAGCCAGAGCGAGAGCGTCATCTGTTGTGGAGTTTGGCATGCACTTACGCGCAACTCTTCTTCGATGGCCCATCCCCTCATGATTACTGGAATAATATCCGTCCTCGCTGCCAGTTCTTCCATCGAGTAGAACGGATAATGCGTCGGGCCAACGACAGAGAACAAGCTGACGAATGTACCCGTGTACATGGCGGCAACGATGCACGAAAATATCCACCAGGTGGCGTACAGAATACGGACCGGAGTCCGCGATGGCAGGAACGTGGTGCCTGCATCGAAACATCGCGGCGATATAAATCACATTGTCAAAATTATAGTATTATCTGTGAACAACGAAGAGAGTTATGGCAACAACTACTGGCACGAGCAGCTTACGCTCGCAAAATATGACACTGATGTGTGCGTCTGCGATTTAACTTAACCGCTGCCATCTAGCGGCTAGCATAGGAAGTTCTTAGGGCAACCTGTCGTCTTACCTTGTTGGAATAGCGCACCGAATGTGTAGCAGAGATGGGAGACGATTCTGGTCTCTCTGACGTCATCGACGGTGGCGCGGTTTCGCGACCGCGGCAGCCACCGTAACAGCAGCGGCATCGCCATGGAAAAGCCGAGCAGTAGAATCCATATGTGCGTGTCAAACGGTCGCAGCACGTTGACGGGCTCGTCCCTTATGACGGAAACTTTCTTAATGACGAACACCATCGACGAATAAAACAGCGGGGTGAGATATTTGACCACCTTTCTTCGCATCGGCGTCACAAACAGCGGCGTGATCAAGAGATCGAGGGTGTTATTGGACAGCGCTTCGATTCCTAGCTCTTCGCTGGGCAGAATTCGAAAGTCGTAGCTTAAAGATGAAGAGAACACAGAGATTGTTGGGTCGACATGGTTACATACCGTCGTCGTATATTTTATCAGAGCAACGTTAGGTTTATATATACAGTTACCGGAGTCACTTATTTGATTATATATATATATATATATATATATATATATATACATATATATATATCTACATATATATATATATATATATATATATATATGCAAATATCCATACACAGGAGCAGCAAGCAATGCGATATTTCGGCAAATATTAATATAGTGGTGGTTTAATATCAGGCATCGGGTTTGAGAGGCTGAGTTCGAATTTCACGCGCAGCAGCTATTAGCGAAAGAACAGACACACGGCAGCATCGCAGAACACATGCACGCTGCATCCACATACGGTACACCCACATATAGCTCCTCGCATTATTTCATCTGCGACAACATTACTCTGTACGTTGCTCATAATAATATTCTTTCAGCACAGATATAACCATTAGATACCAGACAGATAGATAGATAGATAGATAGATAGATAAATAGATAGGTGCGTGTGCGCGCGCGCGTGTGTGTGTGTGCGTGCATGTGCTTTTGTGTGTGTATGTGTGTGTGTGTGTGTGTGTGTGTGTGTGTGTGTGTGTGTGTGTCTGTGTGTGGGTGTGTGTGTGTGTGGGTGTGCGTGCGTGTGTGCGCGT